TGGGATTAACTAATTTACCAGCCAATTCCTAGCGGTTTATGGAAGGTTGTTTGGAGGGCATTACAGATGAGATCCGCATCCCCTATCTGGATGATGTCATTGTGTACAGCAAAACGTTTGAGAAACAGGTGGAGAACTTACGGACAGTATTAAGACAGTTGCGGAAACATGGAGTCAAGCTAAAACCAAGCAAGTGTAGTCTTTTCCCACGTGAAGTATGTTTCTTGGGAAGAATTGTCAACCACTGAGGGCACACCATTGATCCCAGGAACACTGTAGCTGTCACCAAACTAACAGACTCTAACCCAAAAACTGTTGGAAACGTTCCCAAGTTGAAAGGACTGCTGAGCATCAAACAGTTCTCAAGGATTGCCAAGCCCCTCTTTGAACTTGTAGGGAGCTGGGAAGAAATGGCCATTTATTGTCAGAAAGTATGACGGGAAAGTCAAAATTATCAAAGACGAGGAGGCAAGTATCATCCTGTGACGCTGTCAACTGGACAAGTGAACACCAGGCAGCAGTAGACCAGCTTATCAATACAATTACCAATCCTCCGGTAATGGCTTACCCTGACTACACGCATCCATTTGTCCTCCACACTGATGCGTCGGCACAAGGTTTAGGAGCAGCGCTGTACCAAAAGCAAGAGGGCTAGTTGAGAGTAGTTGCTTATGGTTCACGCACACTTACAGCAGCTGAACAAAATTACCATCTTCACTCGAGTAAACTCGAATTTCTGGCACTTAAATGGGCGATAACAGACCAATTCAGAGACTATCCGTTCTATACACCCCATTTTACAGTGTATACGGATAATAATCCGTTGACGTATGTATTAACTACAGTGAAACGGAACGCAACAGGTCATCGGTGGGTAGCAGAGCTGGCTGACTTCAATTTCACTATGAGATACCGACACGGTACAGCCAACCAGGATGCTGATGGACTGTCTAGGATACATATGGATGAGTATATGGACATCTGCACTGAGGAGGTAGAACTGGATTGGATCAAAGCTACGGTGGAAGCGTTGGATGCTCAGCAAAAAGGAGATGCAATTTGGTTATTGTCACTTTCTAGTCAGCTAGGTGATATAGGACACATTATGAACTTGGAGGGTGAATCAAAGGTGCAACCTCTTACTCCTAAGGAACTGTACGAGGCTCAAAGGAGAGACAAGGGAATCAGTGAGGTCATTCAGTATAAGGAGAGAGGCAAGCCACTAACACTGCAAGAAAGGCGCAGCGCATCACCTGAAGGACAGCCTCTCTTGCGTGAATGGAAGAAGCTCATTGTAAGCGAAGACGGAATTCTCCGACATAAAAGGGGCCCAGATCTGCAGCTGGTCTTACCGCGGACGTTTCACCGAATGGTCTCCAGAGAATTGCTGGAAGAAATGGGACATTTAAGAACTGAAAGGGTCCTTCATCTAGCCAGAGAACGATTTTACTGGCCAGGGATGAAAAGAGACATCGAACATTTTGTGACTCACGTTTGCAGATGCATTAAGCAAAAGAGACCACATATACTGCCGAAAGCGCCAATGGAGATTATACAGGGTAGCGCACCCTTTGAACTGGTGTCATTAGACTTTGCACACCTGGAGCAGAACAAAGGGGGTTATGAATATATCCTTGTAATTGTCGACTATTTCACAAGATTCACCCAGGCCTATGCAACCTCCAGCAAGTCCGAGAGACAGCAGCTAACAAGCTGTGCAATGACTTTATACTGAGGTTTGGGTTCCGTCCCTGAATTTTGCACGACCAAGGGGGTGAATTTGAGAATCAGCTTTCCATCATTTAGAAGAATGCTGTGGTATGGTGCGATCCAGAATAACACCCTACCATCCCTTAGGGAATGAGAAAACAAAGCGGCTGAACCAGACACTCCTAGCCATGTTGCGCACCTTGCCAGAACACCAGAAATGTCTGTGGAAAGACAGCCTGAATAAGGTTATACATGCCTATAAGTGTACCGGTCATGAGGCCACCGGATTCTCCCCTTATTACCTGTTTTTCCGTCGGTCCAAAAGACTTCCGATTGATCTTATGTTTGGAATCAAGCCCGCTTCTTGCACACACTATCCAGCTTATGTCAGAGAATGAAAAACAGCCATGAAAGAGGCCTACGAATTAGTAGCACATAGGTCTAGATTATCTGGGATGAAAGGAAAGAGACAATATGACCGCAAGGATCACAGGTCTGTTCTACAGCCGAGCGACAGAGCACTAGTGAGAAATTTACGTGAAAGAGGTGGAACCTGGAAAGCTACGATCTTACTTACCGAGTAATCAAGCGGAAAGGAGAAGAGAGCCCAGTATACGAAGTTGAACCTGAATCAGGTGAAGGACTGTGTCGAGTGATACACCACAATCTGTTGCTTCCGTGCAATGACTTTCCTTTTGAAGAAAACACAGATGATCTGGCTAGGACACCGAAGTAGAAGCGCAAGAGTACCAGACCACCTGTTTTGTCCACCCCCAGCCCAGCCTCAGAAACAAGTTCAGATGAAGAGGCTGAGAATATGCTGACCTTTACCGCAGTCCCCACATCGGGGGACATGTGGTTGAGGAACCAGTGAAAAATGATGAACTGCTCCAGCAGTTGGATAAGCGAGAAACAACAGCACCCACAGAAGCAGAAGATGAACCAACGATCACAGAGCCAGTAGGTTAAAGACCGGCTGCTGAGAGACCTACAAGAGATCGCAGACCACCTGCACTGTTTACCTATGACACATTAGGGACACCAAGTAATTATCAGCCAGCTCGGCAATCCGGCATGCGGGTGTGGCACCTCTGACTGTACCTTGTGTTCCAGGACCTGTAGGAGGATTACCTAATGCTTGGATGAACTATGTGTTACCAGTGACCTATCCACTGCTATGTGGACCTATCGGAGTATATCCTTACCGGATCTATTAGAAACACTGAATACGGTTCTATTAGAAACTCTCAACACTGTTTACAATTGGTGTTTAAAAGGACTTTATTTGTTCTCATGCAGATGGTTTAAGACTTCTCACTTACACTTTCGACAAACCGGAGTAGTTTGTCTTTTAAAGAAGCTATGCTTTAGGAGTAACCAACACTAGTCATCATTAACATGTACTCAGTATGCGATTAGGGCCTGATCAACCCTATTCAACGGAGCTGAGCAGGATTAAGAGTACCTGTCTAGTGTTACTGTAATCTCAGAGATATTTCTATATATATATATATATATATTTTTTTTTTTTTTTTTTTTTTTTTTTTTTTTTTTTTT